AGTTCTTATTATTACGATGCTCACTTACTCGCATTATTTACATTAAGAAAAACCTCGCAATAATTTCTGAATTTACTATATGACATTTACTAACTATAATGTATTGGCATATAAGCTAAACATATATTTAATCAATTTGTTCAATTCTATAATTGTCCAAATATCTGTTTAAGTAATTATGGGCATTACCAAGGATTCTAACAATATTATACATGTTATAGGGCACTTCTTAAATAACAGTCTGATTAGAATACAGATTCTGTGTCCATGTGTTGGTTACAAGAGAAGCGTGGACGCAGGATCTATATTGCAGTCAGATAGTTCTAATAACTATTTGTTTTCAGCTTAAAATGATTTTACTGATCAAAAGGAGGGAATTTGATTTCATGCTAATAAAATACAATTTTTTTCTGTTTAGAAATGGAAGTTCCGGGGAGGGGTACATGTATTCCCTCTATGCCCCACCTGAATCTGACACATGTAAATGTATTTTCCTCCAAGATCTTCCCATTTTAAATATGAGTAAATTGTTTTTCTACAATAGGAAAGATCCACCCATGTTACAAGAAGTGTACTGAAAGTATATGACATGTGTTTTCATTAATCACTATAAGTACTTCAAAAAAAATAAAGAAGTTAGTCAAAGGAGGCGCTGTTTTATATCTATGATTAACTTTGTAAGTAGTAAGTAATTAAAGGGTCATAGATTATCATAAAGATGTTTTTATTTACTTAGACATAGGCAGTAAACTGTATGGAGAGTGTTCTGATAACACTGTAAGGTAATAGTATTGATAAGGAGTTGTAAAAGGTTCTGCTGTTTTAATTACTATCTGAGAGGTTAAGCAGCTATCAAAAGGCAAATAAAACTGACACATAAAGACAAGCATGAATTGCTTCCTATACTATTAAACTATAAAATTTAAACCAATTTCAAAATTTCAAACAGGAGCCACAAGTCAGTCACTTTTCCAAATGCCTACATTTATCCATGTCTTTTGCTGTTTTGTGTCATTGGGTTGATGTCTCATTTACCCTTACATCTATTTTAATGTAAATACATGTAGGTTTGATTAAACGTAGATCTACTGGAAAGAAGCTTCTATTATATGTTAGGTGTCACTATTTACAATGTACTAGATTTATCATCAGCTAAATATTAACTATATAAATGGGGAATGTGTTCATGAGGCACAGATGATGCCCTCGCTTACATATCATATACAGTTATAAAGGGACATAACTGAAGAACGGTAAAAGTGACTCTACCCAAATTTTTTCTTGATCTGAGTTTTGTGGTAATGAGCATTGTGTATAAGTTTCATAACATTCGGTAGAGGCAAACTTAAGTTAAGAGAACGGAAACGAAAAATTCAGCAATTTTTCCCTTTGTAAAGGGGCATAACTCTAGAACAGTAAAAGTGACACCACCAAAATTCTAACTTGATCTGTATTTTGTAGTAAAAAGCATTGTGTATAAGTTTCATAACATTTGGTTGAGGCTAACTTAAGTAAGAGAAAGGAAAACGAAAAATTCAGCAATTTTCCCCATTTGTGAAGGGGCATAACTCTAGAACGGTTAAAGTGACACCACCAAAATTCAAACTAGATCTGTATTTTGTGGTAATGAGCATTGTGTATAAGTTTCATAACATTTGGTAGAGGAAAACTTAAGTTAGAGAATGGAAACGAAAAATTCAGCAATTTTTCCCTTTGAAAAGGGGCATAACTCTAGAACAGTAAAAGTGACACCACCAAAATTCTAACTTGATCTGTATTTTGTAGTAAAAAGCATTGTGTGTAAGTTTCATAACATTTGGTTGAGGCTAAATTAAGTAAGAGAACGGAATAGAAAAATTCAGCAATTTTCCCATTTGTGAAGGGACATAACTCTAGAACAGTAAAAGTGACAGCACCAAAATTCAAACTTGATCTGTATTTTGTGGTAATAAGCATTGTGTATAAGTTTCATAACATTTGGTTGAGGCAAACTAAAGTAAGAGAACGGAAACGAAAAATTCAGCAATTTTTCCATTTGTTAAGGGGCAAAACTCTAGAATGGTTAAAGTGATACCACCAAAATTCAAACTTGATCTGTATTTTGTGGTAATAATCATTGTGTATAAGTTTCATTACATTTGGTTGAGGCAAACTAAAGTTAGAGAACAGAAACCAATTTTGGGACATACGGAAGGACGTATGTACATACAGACGGAGGTAAAACTTAATGCCTCCTCCGCTACGTCAGGGGCATAAAAATAAATACAATCATTGTAATAGCATTAGTTTTATCTAAATAAACAGCAGCCATGATGTTGGATCAGCAGCATCATGAAAATTATTTTGAAAACTAGACACTTTAGCAGTTATCATGATTTTAATTGAGTTTAGTTTTGTTCCAACTCGCGTGGAGAAATTTGTTTGAAAAAGTTTACAATGGATAAAGTAATGATAAAAGCCATACATTATACATACATGTACAAATGTACACTTTACACTGGTTTGAGACTGACCTGTAGGCTGTACACTATGGAAATGTGTTCTTTTTTTAACACAAAATATGTAACACAAAGGTTTATTCTTTCCTGCAGATCAAAGCACTTTAAAACAATCTTACTTTTGTGATAAAAAGCACTTCTTTTCAAAATTCCTACAATATAACAATGTAGCTATCCAAGTCTCAGAGAGCATTTAATAAGATGTAATAAAAGAATTCTGTCTGAAAGTTAAGATAATATAAGACATGCACTATATGTCCCAATGAAGGTTTCTTACTCTATTTTACTTTAAGATTTAAAATTATATGAACTAACATAATACAACTGGCAAACGCAATTTTATCTTTCAAAAGGCAGCTTGAAAATAAATTTTGAAAACAGTTGTGCATGATAAATGAAAACAAGAAATGATTGTAACAGGATGCTGTTACGAAGTCTCCCAAACGAAGCTCCCATAATTCCTAATTCCCAGGGTCGCCTGACATTTGACAAAGTCCAGTGAAAATTGGTTTGGTCCAGTAAAGTTATATGCATTAGTGATGCCTGGGGACTAATCCAGTATATCCTTCAAATCATCTTGGCATGACAAACCAGAATATATATGGTTTAGGGGTGGGGATCTCGACCATTTACAAGATACTAGAACATTGGGGGTGGGGGGAACCCCTGGGGACTGACCCTATACGTCATTCAAATGGTCGAGACATGACAAACAGGAATATATATGGTTTAGGGGTGGGGATCTCGACCATTTACAAGATATTAGAACTTTCTCAAATGGCAGGGGGTCGGGATGACCCCTGGGGACTAACCCTGTATATCATTCAAACCATCTTAGTATGACAAACCAGAATATATATGGTTTAGGGGTGGGGATCTTGACCACTTACAAGATATTAGAACTTTTTTAAATGGCAGGGGGTGGGGGTGACCCCTGGGGACTAACCCTGTTTATCATTTGATGTGTTTTATCATGACAAACCAGAATATATATGGTTTAGGGGTGGGGATCTCGACCATTTACAAGATATAAGAACTTTCTCAAATGGCAGGGGGTCGGGATGACCCCTGGGGACTAACCCTGTATATCATTCAAACCATCTTAGCATGACAAACCAGAATATATATGGTTTAGGGGTGGGGATCTTGACCATTTACAAGATATTAGAACTTTCTTAAATGGCAGGGGGTGGGGGTGACCCCTGGGGACTAACCCTGTATTTCATTTAATGTGCTTTATCATTTAGAACATTTTCAATTAAAAAGATTGTATCTATCACAAACGGTTTTCAATTTATAATCATTTGAAAATTTTAAATAAATAAAATCCCATAGGGTTCTATAGTATAGTAAAACCCTCCTTTCTTTTTGCCCCTCAAAGTACCCCTTTATAAACCCCATTGCACAAACAAAACCCTGATTGCACTACTAGACATGTTAGTCTAACATATTGTGAAACCCTTAGTTAATCTGACAAGCGGTTTTGGAGAACGGGTGCAGACAAGTTCAAATTTAAAAGGGGCGGAAGAAGAAGAAGAAGAATAATAATAAGAACTGAGCAAAACCAATAAGTCTTCCCAAACTTCGTTTGGGAGACTTAATAAATACTCATGCAAATTTGTCTCAAAAAATAAATAACCATTCCTCAAAACGATAGAAAATATATGTTCATTTAGTAATTAAAAGATCCTTTTGCCTCGCCCCTTCCCTGACATATCAAATGGTTGTCCAGGTACAGTGTTTGCTGTTTTTCCCTCATTTGTCTGATGAGTCCATTTATAGTGTAGACATTCATGTGCTGTACATGTAGCATTTAACTTAAGTGCAAGTCTTTATAAGAATCAGGCAATTTAAAAGAATTTCAAAACATGACAGAAAAAAACCCACCAACCTAACCATCCAATTTTGAAGTTACCCTTGTCCTGAGTTATAAATGGTAGGTCTATCGTTTCTGCGTGCCAGGTAATTAAAGAAATCACCAGACAACTTTTGGTAAGAATGATAGTAAATTATGGAGTTAGATCCCCTTAATTGGTAATTTCTAGTGCATTTCAACCAAATTATATTTTGAAATACCAGAACAGGAAAAGGAAACGAATGTTATATTCGTGCACCATTAAACATTTTGAACTTAAATTAATGTAAACTTGAGCAGGTTTTTGTTTGTCATTTTTTCACCACTGCCTGATTCTTAGGCAGATTGGCTCTTAAATGAACAGACTTATTTGAATGAATGAAATTACCTGCTATCTATTTGTATCATATATTTGTTGGTATGCATGTCTAGGCCAATATCTGTATTCATGACCATATTATAACAAAATTCATTGAGTTTATGGATTTTTTCCAAATAAAAAGAGTCCACCAAATGTTGGTAACATCAGTTAAACCATGATCTTGAACATGTTCTATACATGTATAATTCCTTTATTTACTCCCCATGTCTGTAATTAGTACATAATGTAAGCAAGCATTGACAGTGAACATTTATAAATAACTTACCCTGTGTCCATGCTGAAGCCTTTACTTTGTTGACTCTGATGTAACCATGTTTTGGAGGGACTGTAATCTCAAACAACAGGGACTCTATTTCACTGTCTCTATCTGTAGCAGACAACATCCGATCAATAATTGTTGCACCAATGGTGTTCTGGTCCAAGTAGGTCAGTTCATTCAAGCCACTGTTGATCTTAAGGTATGGTATACCATTGTCCATTGGCATTATTTCAATAGGTATGGTCTGAGGTTGTTTAGTAGGGTGCTCCATGTTTGAAAAAATGTAAAAGTCAGAATGTACTCCATCAGTAACCGTGAAGGAGAAAGCATCTTTTGAAGTTTCCGTTCCGTCATGTTGATATGTAATCAAGTTATTTTTTATGTCTTCATTTGTAAACATAGTAACAATTCTGGAGTAATTGTACAGAATATTTCCATGAAGTGGAAGTTGAGTTATCACAAATTCAATGTTGACATCTATTGTATCTTCATCCACGGCTTTTAATTCAAATGACGATATCAATTTATTTCCACCTTCTGCCAGAAATAATGTATCAAACACAAGTGTTGGTTTCTTATTATCAACATCTGTAACTGCAATTCTAAATGTCCTTTTGACAGAATTGTGTCCATCTGTAACTTCAAACTGGAAAGAATCCATTTTAATTTCTGATTGAGCATTATGTATATAACAAATCTTACTCCCAGCTAAATCTAACTGTGTAAATGAAGTGACAGGTTCGTATGGGTTGTCAGTATTATAGATGTAGCCATGAGATGGAATTTTTGTCACTCTAAAAATGAGTAGAGCATCTGGACTTTCAACGTCTTTTCCACGTAAAAAGTCTGTTGTTAGTTTTATTCTGCCTCCTTCTGGTAGTTTAACTCCTTTATTGTAAACTTCAGGATAATTCAAATCCATGCCTTTAATAGTTATATAGAAGTATCGGTCTATCAAAGGGTTCAATCCATCAGTAACGTCAAACTTGATGATGTCACGTTTACCTTCCGTACCTGTATGAATGTAATAAACCTGCTGACTGTCTATTTCAAACTGAGTAAAATTTGCACTATATGTCATATTCACAATTCTATCATGACCTTTATCTTTTATAAAATATCCCTGTGATGGTAATCTTCGTATAATAAATGTTATGTTTGGATCATGAGAGTCCAAGTCCTCTGCCTTCAGGACTTTATCACTGATCAATTTTCTGTCACCAATATTTTCAATCTGAAGTCCAGTATTTATTGTAAGTCTTGGTGTTTCATCGTCCACGGGTATAATTATAATAGGAATGTTCTGTGTAACATTATGCAGCCCATCAGTGACAATAAACTCTACAGAGTCTTGAAACGATTCTGTATTGTCGTGTTGGTACATTATTGTTGACGATCTTACAATGTCAGACTTTGTAAACTGAGTTATAGGAATGATACCTGTTCTTCGTTGTTGTACTATCTGTCCATGCTGTGGAAATGTGTGTATGATAAAAGTTATTTCATCTGATGGAACATCCTCATCTACTGCCGACAAGATGGGAGAATCTATTTTAAGTTCCATTCCTTCCATTACAATAAATTCCCTGATGAAAACTTTCGGACTTTCATCATTTTTTGGAAAAATAGATATGTGGAATGTACTTGCCTCTGGTGAGATGTTTACTCCGTCTGTACATTTGAAGGTGAATATATCATGTTTAGGCTCTTCACCAAAATGAATACTCTGGACATAGTTCATGTGACCCAGTCTGACATCTTCAATATAAAATGCAGTGACTGACATGCCTACCCTGGATTTTTCCGATCCGGGAGCTGGCGAGATATTTTCAATGTACCCTTTGGTAGGCTGAGTGGTTATTATACACTGAACATTTTCATCTTTAGTGTCTTCATCTACAACATCTAAGTGACGAGGTAAAATTCTTTCCTTTTCACCTTCATATACACTAAAAGGTGCAGCTGGCAATATTCTTGGTGCAATGTTGTCTACTGGGAGTATATAAATATTAACAGTTATCTCTGGTCTTTCTCCTACCATGTCCTTTCCATGCAATACTAAAACAAATCTATCTGTTTTTCCATTATATCCCACATCTGAACCCTGATGTTTATATTGTACTTTTTTATCCAGTACATCTTGGTATGTAAACTGATTTGTGGGCCAATTCCCTAAAACAACTGAACCCTCTAATGCCCTAGATTTCACATGAAATTTTATCTCTTTTGGTTCAACAACATTTTTCATCTTTATATATTCAGAAGATAAAACTATAAATCCTCCTTCATTTACTTCAAATTCCAATTTTAGTTTCTTTTTTCCATTTAAATCTAGTGTTGGTTTTTCCTCCATTTTTTTAACAGTAATTCGAACCCCTATGGGTACAACATGTACACCATCTGTTACTTCAAGGTTAATTAAATCACTTTTTTCATCATTTTCCTTACTCTGATAAACTACATTCCCAGAAAACAGATCTGTATAGGAAAATGTGTCGGACACATCTAAAAATTGTTGTCCTTTAAGCAAGCTTCCAAAATCTGGTAGTTTTATCAATGTGAATTGTATCATGTTTGGATTTGAATCTGGATCTTGAACATGTTGAACATCAATCACCTGTGTGTTCAACACAACTTGCTTATTTTCTAGAACAGTGGCCCCCATATTTGTCACAATCGGTGGCTGGTTATTTACTGGAATTAAAATTATTGTGAAATGCTGATTAGGTAATATGTTGCCACTTGAATCTTCTACTTCAAAATAAAACTGTATTCTACGCTCAGTCAGTCCTTGCTCAGAAGAAGGAGGACGATAACAAATCTTTTGATGGAAGATTTCTGCTTGCTCAAAAGTGGTGACTGCTACGTTTAGTTGATCACACATTACAATTTGTCCAGCATCTAAATGTACGTAAGAGTCCTGGTCAAATGGTGATCTTGTGATGTGGTATTTTAGCTTTGATTCATTAGTATCACTGTCAATAAAAAATAAATTCTTACGTTTAAAAGGTGTAACCTGAAATTCTGTCACAGTAAAATTGAGCTGTGTGTCTGGTGCAATGGTAGGTGGTTTATCATCCACTGGGTAGATCTTCACTAAAAATTTGTAAGTTTCTGAGACAGTTTTTATTTTTTCTCCACTCATTAGAGAGAACTGTATTTTATCAATTACTTCTGATGTATGGTGTGGTCCTACATGTCGATAAAACAGTTTATTGTCCAAGATGTCCATTTGAGTAAATCGATCAACAGGACGTTGATATATTCCATGAATGTTCTGCCAATTATGAATGTCATTTGGGATTTCGAATTGACGCTTTAAAATAATACCTTCAGTGGAATAGGGAGGTAGCAAAATGAATTGAATAGAAGAATCATCACTGTCTATATCTGATGCACTGAGGACAAACTGTGATATAGGAGCCATTCCGTTTTTCTTTAATTCAAGGCCAATGTTGACAGTAAGAGTTGCTGGTTCATCATCTACTGGAAAAATAATGACTGGAAATAAAAATTCTACAGTGTGTTTAGAATCAGTCATACGGAAAACAATATTATCACTATGAGTATCACTACCATCATGTTGATATATAACTGTCCCTGCATTGAGATCGTTTGGTGTAAAATACTGTCTCCCACCTGGTAAAACTAATATGCCATGTCGAGTTCCATCAACTACAGAAATCTTTACATTGTTGAGATCATCTTCATCAGAAATTTTTAAGTTATGCATAAAAGTTATATTTCTTGACTGACCTTCAAACAGTTGCAGTCCAATATTTTTTGTTGCTATAGGTGCCAATGTATGCTTTGGATGAACTATTATCATTAATGAAAATGGATCGGATTTTAAGCCTTCTTCATCTATCACTTCCAAACCTACTTCAAATGTTCTTGGAATGTTAGAATCATCATTTGGTGGCTTAAAAGCAATCTTTAAATCAAAAATATCTTTCTGGTAAAAAGAACGCAGTATAATATTCTGGTCATCTGTGCTTACAATTTCACCTTCATTTGGTCCTAAAGGGCGTGTTATATTGAAAATTAGTCTATCGCTCACTGTCTCAGCATCAGTTGCACTCAGTATTTTGGGTGAAATTGCAGTCATGATAAACTGATTAATACCATACTTGGTTGTTTCAATTGCAAGACGAGCTTTCTGATTTAAATGAGGAGCAGAATTAGGTGAACCATCTTTTATTACCACCTCTTTCAAAAAATATTCCTGATTAACGAAAGTTCCGTCTCTTTCTAACAATTCTAAAACTAATGGAATATAATCCTTGTTTGGTGAATTTACCTTTGATGTATGTTTATACTGCAAGTTCATTTGCAAAAACTTATCACAATCAATGAATGATACTGATGAGGCGTTGTTTACAACATACCCGTAACGTGGTAAATTTTTCATTCCTGACAAAATACTTAATTTACATATCTGATTATCCCTGTCATAATTAAATTGAGTATTTAAATCTCTTATTACATCACTACTACTTAAAAAATGTTCTACAGTTAATGGTAGATTTCTAAGCACAACCTGGAACGGTAGACGAAATGTGATATGAAAAGATAAGGTTACTGGAATGATTTGAGTATTGGAACTAGAATCAATGCGAATGAGTAGGCGCACTTTATCAAAACTGGGAAAAGTCGATCCAAAGTGTGTATATTTTACATCCTTAGGTCCAAAACTGCATGGAAATTCAGATGGAAACAATTTCCCAGGGAACTGTGACAATGGGTCATTTTGCAGAACTGTAACAGAACACTGTTCTCCCCTTTTTTGATGTATAGTCAAGTGAGAGTCTGGATTCACATAAAAGGATCTACCGTGCGGCACAGTTATTTCATTGTTCGTTACAATCCTGTTAACATCGGATGCTGAACTGCAACAGGTGTGCAGAAATGTCACCAGAATCCAAAGAAAAAACACAACACTGTTTCGATTCCATATTGCACCTAAAAGGCGCAGTGTCAAGTGACAGTTCGTGAACATTTCAAAATTGTGTCACTCCTATGTCTTGCTGTTTCTGCAGCGCACTGCCGCATTTCAATATACAATCAAAACAAATGCAACATGCGTCAAGATAGTCTCACTCACCTCTCACCTTTAGTTAGCGAATTAATCTTGATTCTTACTTGACTTCCGGATATACACAAAATAGTTCTATTGTTACATCTCTCACGGAGACAACGACATTGATTCAAGTTATATTTCAATGATATAGATTTTTTTTACATAAAATAAAAACTGTTTATTGTGTTAAAGTGAATTGAAAACAAAATCATTTTGTCAGATTATTTTTACGTGCTAAAGTGTATATTCACGGTAATCAATGCAACATCAAATCTAATCAAAGCTATATTTAAAGTCGGCATAGGACATAGGAACCAAATATTTGTTTTTGTCCCCCATAATACCTTGGGTTTTTTTGTGAATGAAGGCTTGTTATCGGAACTTTTAGCTTGTGTTGATTGTTTCATTACATTTTATATGAATCGTAGTATTGGAAATCATCACTGAAATTATTTGATAAATCATGTTAAAACAATTGCATACTAACTTGGCTTGTTTTATCGAACAAAATTGGTGACATTCTACACAAACATTTTATTTTTCTGTCACCAAAAAGACTGGAAGATCTCAATACACAAAGTAAACCGCAGGCGCTTTCGAAACTGAACCCGCCATGTAAGTAAAGGCATTATATATATATTATTGTGTTTTAATTTTTATGTAAATATTCATTAATATTTTTTACTAATTTGACTTATGAAATGTGTTCTTGTTCCCACCAACAAGTTTAACAATAATTGTAGTTTATGTATGATGTCCTTTTAAAAAATAAAAATAGAGAGCAGGGGCGGATCGATCCAGCCATTTTAAAAAGGGGGGGGTCCCAACCCAGGATAAAGAGGGGATTTCAACTATATGTCCCCAGTCAAATGCATTGATCGTCAAAAAAGGGGGGTTGAACCCCCCCCCCTGGAACCGCCACTGGAGAGCATCACATAAACTATACTGTTACTACACCTCACAAGAATGCTACCTAAATAAATGAATATTGCTGAATGCGAACTTATCAATTTCATTTTCCTTTGAGATGTATACTGTTAAAACAATAAGGGGTATATTGAGTGAAATTTGCAATTATTATAGAATGAAGCATTCTTACTTTAATAATTGTTGAGCTTGAATTAGCTGTTTGTAGTTTTGCAATATTTTAACTAGGCGACTGATTTTATTTGTTCAAATTGATAGAATCATTCAAGTAAACAAGTGATGAATTTGAAAACCGATTTATTTTCTCCAGAATTTGCAACATTTTCCATAACAGCATAAAAAAACCAAAATACTGACAATCCTCCAATAAATTTATTGAAGATCGATGTGGGGACCCTTACGGAGGCAAATCAACACTTTCCTTCACCATTTTCACCTGGCGTATTGATATTGTTTACAGTTTGTGCTGCGGTTATCAACCACTAGTAGGCGTGTTTAAAAGAAAATGATAAGCCAATCATTGTAAATAGAGGCGGGACACGGATTACTTGTGTCGCGCTATTTAATAATATACTGATTATTAATTATTACAATACAATGTTTAAAAGGAGTGAAATGATTCCAAGAACTTTATAAAAATGATGATAAAAATTATCTAGTACTACAATAAATTTGAAGACGCCAAATATTAGCCATTAATTAATTGTGTAGCGCTTGTAGCATGATATATTAGTTTAATAAGAACAGAGGATAACAAGAGAGTTTGATCTTGCATCTGTTCGTGCTATCAGAGACATAAATATATAATATATCTCTGGTGCTATTCAAAATATAAGTAACAGAGAAATAATAATGGGAACAAGTGTTCTACTCAACAACAACAAAAAACTGTGGTTCAAATATGATTAAATGAAATGAGAATACAGAAGTTAAAGTTTTATTACGTTCTCCAGCCTTTTATATGATGAAACTGCTATTTAACTATTATATACAATAACTGGTAGTCTCATTATTTATCAAAATTGCATTTCTAATATCGGACATATACAATTGCTAAAATGAAACAATGAAGCAATCAAATGATTTTAATTTGAAAGCGAAAATTGAAAAAACGACATTTGTTTTTCCAACAGGAGTAAATTAACATGATTGAGTATTGTAAACTAATCTCGTTAATTCCAAGTTCAAGTATATGAAGCTGAAAGTGCATTCAAAGAAGAAGATGAAGTACAAGAAAATTTGGAGCAAATGATATAATTTTAATATTTTGAATTTATCATTGATGACATCTTTAATTGGTTTCTGTTGAATATATTCACATTTTAGACTCGGGACAATTTAGAGCTGGACATCATATACCGGGTACCTGTCTATTGTTGAAGACGTGTATATTGCCCTATAGATATCTTTTCGTTATTTTTTCGTCCTGTTTGATCTCATTGATGTACACCATACATCTTCTTTTATTCATATGTTCAAAATACACGTATCCATACGAAGATCAGACACAAGACAATTATCATATTTAGTACAGGTTAGTGAAGCATTAGTTAGATACAATTACAAACTTTCTCCAATGTTCCCTGGTTGTGAAATTGCTGCCTTAAAGACCTCTGTGTGTACTTTTAGGATTTTATCCAAACATTAAGATTAAGGTGAATGATATTTTGTGTCTAGGTGTTTCTGATGAGAGTTTGTATCAGTACTATACAAATCCTTGATAAAACTGTATTTCACCTAGCAGGCATGCATGCTTGAAGTCAGTCAAGATTATCTACCAACAGTATTCAATTCCAAAGCAACATTCCTGCTAATGAATAAGTTCAAATTAATTTAGCAATTTGATAATTCAAAAACAATCTATTAAGAACAAATACTCCATCATCTGACCCTTACTTTTTGCATAAATGCAAAGAAAACTATAAAAACTCAGTGGCGGATCCAGGGGGTGTTATAGAGAGCCTACGTCCCCTTTTGATTGCAAAAAAAATGTTAGCCTTGCTCTGCTAAGTGGTATATAATCTGTTTCCTGTAATAACGACACTTTCTAAAAACCTGGTTCCTCCCTCAAACTAATGATTTACTCTTGAATGTGCTCTATTTTTGACTGATTATTGTGGCAAAGTTGAGGGAAAAGTATTGAAAAGTATTTTTTCCAGTTAATTGAAACGTTTCTGTTTATAAAAATCTTCAATTTCAACATCTCTCTCCTACCACTTTCTTGAATTTGTTCACATTTGTTGTTCTGTTACATAATTTTGTCATTCTTCACACTGTGCACACTTTGGCCACTTGTTTTTAAAAAGGACATCTTATATTTACGGGGTATTAATTTTGCAGGTTTTGTTTTGTGTGCTTCTGCCATTTTCAAATTATAATCTTTATGCATCAAGGGTGATATATTTTACAGATCTTTTCAGACCATAAGTTTTAGTGACTGGATAGCTTAACACTGGTGTGTGGATGGTTTAATTTCTGAATTAAGTAAATCTTCCAACATTTTATGGTTATTGATAGGCACATGTAGACAGAAATGATTGATGATTGATTGTTGGTTGCTTAACTAGACAAAAATGATTGATTGTTGGTTGCTTAACTAGACAAAAATGATTGATTGTTGGTTGCTTAACTAGACATAATTGATTGATTGTTGGTTGCTTAACTAGACAGAAATGATTGATTGTTGGTTGCTTAACTAGACAAAAATGATTGATTGTTGGTTGCTTAACTAGACAAAAATGATTGATTGTTGGTTGCTTAACTAGACAAAAATGATTGATTGTTGGTTGCTTAACTAGACAAAAATGATTGATTGTTGGTTGCTTAACTAGACAGAAATGATTGATTGTTGGTTGCTTAACTAGACAAAAATGATTGATTGTTGGTTGCTTAACTAGACATAATTGATTGATTGTTGGTTGCTTAACTAGACAGAAATGATTGATTGTTGGTTGCTTAACTAGACATAATTGATTGATTGTTGGTTGCTTAACTAGACAGAAATGATTGATTGTTGGTTGCTTAACTAGACATAATTGATTGATTGTTGGTTGCTTAACTAGACAAAAATGATTGATTGTTGGTTGCTTAACTAGACAAAAATGATTGATTGTTGGTTGCTTAACTAGACAGAAATGAGATAGTTTGTTGATGCCTTACCTCACAAAGAGCAGCCTTATCCAGTCACATTATTTAGACCAAACAAATGATTCCCATGCAGTCACAAGCCCTTTACTCCTAAATACCATATGTTACATTTAGTAACATAAAACAATTTGTTTTTTGTAAGGCCTAGCATGGGATGGAACCAATGATCTTCTACATTTAATTAAAGGGACACTGCTGCCATAAGATAATAAATGTGAGCATATAACCACAAAATCAAGCACATCTTCCTTCATGTTTGTTTAAATTTTGTGTAAATGATACAATAGGATTTTTGTAGAAAATGAGATCATAGCAGCATAAAATATTTGCCACTGGCCATTAAACAAACAACAATAAACCAATAAATCAATCAAATCAGCATTATTAATGCTCTAAGCATCTCTAAACATGAAACAAAATTATGTCATTACTCAATAAATGACCCCATGTGAGTCTGACACACCTCACTAAAACTTACATCATTTTCATGTTGACTGAATACAAAATATTTGCATATTTTCATTAAGGCCAAATATTTGTTACTATAAGCAACAGGATAACTTCCTTGATGACTGTTCCATGAAATGAGGTTGAGGTCAAGAGAACCCTGCCTGGCAGACATGTAGCCTTTGCAAGGATCCTATATACCAAATATAATCATCCTTTTACTCATAAGTGAGGAATTCTTATGGCAAAAAAAAAACTTTGCAACATAAGGCATCTATATAAGAGGTATGAAGTATCCAGGTCTTCTACCTTCTGGGATATAAAGCTTTATACAAAATAGTTTACCCAGCCAAAACTCCAGACAAAAACTTAAAATTTTACACCTGCAAAATTTAACTTCTGTACTGAAATACTTACAATTGGTCTATAGAATTGTTATAGGTCATCAACCCAGGTGATTCCATTGAATTCATGTCTACTGTATGTATAAGTCTAGTCTGCTACCAGTAA